CCAATCCCCCAAAAGCGTTCTCCAACCTCTCATCGTCGCAGTGGATTAGGTTAACAAGGTCGATCATGATAGCAAATAATTCGACTGGACGGCGATCGATTTTGTTACGGACCGTATCAATCTTCGAAAGCTGCTGCGATGGATCGGCGGCAATACAGACAATGACTTTAGGGTCGACATGCAACTCGCAGGAAACACTGTTTTGCTCAATCGTTGGGAGAATCGATACCGAGAGCAAATGTCTGGCATGACATTTGGTTTCAATTTTGAAAAGGCTTCGACGAAACCCGCGCCCGGATGCGCGAATAGTACTGGGCATCATAGGACTGTTCAATACGTACGCCTGACTATTTCTTTCACCTTTATAAATTTCCTCTGAAGTGAAACATTTTTCTAGGATCTCAGTGGCCTTGCGATGGTAGTCCGCTTTGAAGTAGATGCATGCATCGACGCGTCGTCTGCCAGACTAGTAGGATCCCCCCACCCCCCCTCCGGCGAACCTCGACGACCTGATTAGTGCTCTATCGAGTGTCACTCTTCCAAGGACTGTGTCGCCTTCGTTGAAGTGAACCACCCAGCACCTGTTCGCAAACACGTGATGTTCGGAGATCCCCGAAATGGACTTCAACCTATTTCTCTGAGCTCAGCTGGCCAGGCGCACCGACCGCATACTGGTTATTTTTGTAGTCCATAAATGATCTATTTTAAACTTGTGTTTGTCCCTTTCGCGACGCGTTTGATGCGTTCTCTGTGCTTTCCTTGAAATTTCCTCGCATCTGAGATCTCTCCAAGGTCAATGGACACTAGTCCCGATATTTTGCCACGACGGGCATGCACAAAATGCCGGAAATCGTACCTTCTCGACGCATCACACTTCAAACCGACAATCCCATCTGAATTTACAAAGGTGTGCCGGTCATGCCTAGCACAGCAAACTGAAAGGCGCAAAAGTTCCCATAACAAGGAGAACAGAGCCACAGATCACGCCACAGTGGCTGCCAGAATTTTTCGCGAACAGGCAAAACACCGCAGCCGCATCTGGATGAAATTCGTCGTTGATCGGAAACTAGGCGATGATGTCATGCATCTTGTTGCGGATGTGAAGAGGTTTGAGAAAACAGGTAGAAAACGGGACACTACATGGGTTGAGGGAGGAGGAAAGGTCGACAAACAGCGCATGAAGAACACGATGGGATATCGTATTCGAGACGAGTCGGACACTTGATGGCAGCGCAGTAACGCCGCTATTGTGCCACGGATGTCAAACAGACGTAACACCCCGATTCTGAAGAAGAAATGGTTTGCCTACACAATTTTATAATAGTTGAAGTCCATTTCGGGGATCTCCGAACATCACGTGTTTGTGAACAGGTGCTGGGTGAATAGCGTTCACTCCAAAACGTGCCGCTTTGCTGCTCCTTGACCTTTCACTGAGTGGTCTCAAAGTATCTGGCCGCTGTGACAACCGAGGTAAAGCCCGGGATGGGCGCTGGCGAAGTTGGACCCACAATGCCAGAGCCAAAACGCTGGAACCACTGGACCTAGAGTCGACGTCACTCTGTGTCTCTCAGGCCTACCGTGCCGGTTAGCGCTTCTATGTCACCTGTGCAACTTCACACAACCAGAAGGGGTCCATTGACGCCCGCCCATATGTACTTGAACACAGCCGTCTGGCTGGCACTGTGCCAACAGATATGTCAAGATTTTCCTCTCATGGCCGTGGCCGTGCCCGCACTTTGCGGTCTTTGAGCCAGCGTTTTACGCAACACTCTGCGCTTCCGTCGGATCGTGATATCCTTGAAGGTTTATCGACAACACCGCTTCAAACTATAGTGAAGCCCTCGTCAGGTTGCTCTGAGGAAGTGAAAATCACCGACCTCCAGTACGTCGGCTCATACAATTGGCTTGATGAATTCAGCCCAACGATCATCGTCCCAGGTAAGACGACATGCATCATCTCTCGATCCCAACAGCGCTAAGCTCATGTTGACCTTAGGGTCTCCGCCTCGGTGGACGAACAAAGCTACACCATATCAGGTGCCTCCAGACGACGGAGTGACATTCAAGGATCAGAATGGTTTCAGATGCCCCCAAAGCTGTCTCCTACCTCTCGTCGTTGCAGTGGATGAGGTTGGCAAGGTCGATGGTCCAGAGTTCGACTGGGCAGCCATCGATTTTGTTACGGACCGCAACAATCTTCGAAAGCTGCTGCGATGGGTCGGCAATAATGCAGACAAGGACTTCAGGGTTGACATGCAGCTCGCAGGCAAGACTATCTTACTCAATCGCTGGGAGAATCGATACCGAGAACAAATGCCTGGCATGACATTTGGCTTCAATTTTGAAAAAGTTTCGACGAGAGCTGCACCCGGATGCGAGAGTAGCACTGGGCATCATAGGATCGTTCGCCGCACCACTTCCTCGCGGTCCACGAGCGTGGCCGGTTCGTAGAGGTCAACAAACGAAGGCTTGATTCAGATGAGCTCAGGAACGTCGCTGCTGGTTCCATTCAAAAGGATCTCAGGGTACTCAGGCAGGTTTTGGACGTCTTGAAGGAACTCGCGGTCAAACATGGTGAGAGGGGGCGCCTTAGCCTTGTTTGCCGTGGCGGGAAGCTGCAGGTGTTTGAGAGGACAAGCCAAGCGAGTTGCTTGCCGGATGAGTTGCTACAGAAATTCGATCATTGAAGTCGACGCGGCGACGCCACCTCGGTTCTTTTCCGGGATCGCTGCAGAAAACACATCCATCCTCCATCCCATGTTTTATTTGTGACGACACGTCTTCGTCAAGCCTGGCATCACCGTATAGGTATCAAGAGGCAATTATAAGTAAGAGCCTGAAGGAACTTTGGGGATCCGGAGTAATTAGTTACGTAGATGGATGAATGAATGTTGAGGACGTCAAATGTTGTGGCTAGTGCGGCCTTGAACGTAAATACAATTGCAACAACCAGCAGGCATATGGGATTCGTAAATTCCAGTCTACGGTCAAAATAACTACGTACTGCACATAAAGAATACTAAAGTGTATCTGACACAAGAGAAGTCAATGTTCAAAAGAGTGTGGGTCGAGCGACGCGCAGCACCGGGCTCGGAGTGACTTCCCGGAGGTTAAAGGTAATATTGAAGGGTATCCTGTGCTAATGCTCTTGCGTGTGCGTATGAAAAGTCGAGCGGGTGGGCGACGAAGCAATAGGTATGTAAGAAGGTGAAAGGTGGTGCGGCGTGGTGGGAGAGGGTGTGGGAGGGGTGTGGGAGGGGTCCAACAAAGGGGTCATTGGTCCGAGGGGTTCAAACGTATGCAATCGAAGCGATGAGATACGAGCAGGCAACGCGAGCGAAGGGGCATATCAAAGCAACACCAAGAAACGGGCGGTTCTATAGCAGCAACGAGGCGAGGCCCAGCGTGGCCATTCCTGCGGACACCATGAACCCAGACGCGAGGTGCTGGTTTGAGCTGGCATCATTCCTCTTCTGCACCGAGCGGCGGGTGGGCTTCTTCACGCCGTTTGAATCGTCGGCGGGGATATTCCGCAGCATCTCTGTAGGTAGCATGTTCGGGGTCGTCGAGATCTGGAACATGGGTGCAAGGGGGGCACCGTCGAACTGGAACAGATGGAGTTTATACCCTGTAGTTGGGTCACGGAAAATCCTCCACTGCTTATACGTCTCCGTGATATTGTAATCTTCGATGAAGTTCGACACGGCAGCGCAGGGATCTTGAATCTGCTGGTACCCGTCGCCCAGGGGAGTCATTGTTATTGAGCCGTTGTTATTCAGGACGTAGTGGCCGTGGACCCAGCCGATGGCGCCAGTGATACAGGTCGGCAGTGTGCCTACGAAAAGTCATTAGAGAATAGGGAACGTCGGTACAGAGACTGGGGGAAAGCGTACCGTTTCCAATGAACCGATACCGTGCAATCTCGTAGAACCCATCGCCCGTACTGTTTCATTGTTAGTCCACTATTGTCTTACCTTGTCCCAGAAGGAAAACCGGCAGCACTCACAATGAATAGGAGATACCCGTTGTCTTGGGGTAGGTGAATGACACGTTGGCGGGATTAGCGAAGCCCTTCGTCAGGTCAATCAGCCATTCTCCTATGCACAACCATTGCAACACTCACAGGTCCCGTTACAACATTCTTGCTTCCAGAGCTCCAGGTGCCAATGATTGAAGTGGCGTTGTGTTCAAGATCGTATGAGATGGTCTGTGAGTATGCAGAGGGCGCGAGCGTTGCGATGAGCAGGGCGACGAGCGGGGTGAAAATCATGATGTGTCGAGGTTTGTCTATGGGTTTTCTGTATTATGGGCGTAGATGGCTGAGCTCTTGTTTTGTTGAGGATTATGCGTGATGGTGAAATGAAGGGTGAGTGCAAGAGAACTGTCGGAGAAGCGACGGCGACGGGCACAGCAACGACGAAGATGATGGAGAAGGTGGAGGGAATGTTTGACCATGTTTGGTCGATAGCTTTGTTTGAGTGGCTGTCCAGTAAATGTCGTTATCTATGCACGACGGTTTCTTCTTACCACGGTTCGATGGCGTAGTTGGTTATCGCATCTGTCTAACACACAGAAGGTCCTCAGTTCGAGCCTGGGTCGAATCATCTTTTGTCCTCTGGCGTAATGTATCGATCTTTAGTTACTGTTACCTTTCAATTTTCCATGAAGTTCGGGCATCCACTAACCCTTGCGTCTCCGTCTCCGTCTGCAATGATCAGTGATCTCTTGTACTATGGCAATTTATTGAACTTTTCTTATGATCTTGTCGCCTTTCAATTCTTTTTCCCGATGCTTGGCTGTCAACGCCTCTATCCTTAGCCTACCAAGTCTACATCTATGTCCGCATCTTTTCTATTGTGGCGTGATGAAATTGAACTTTTTACTTCCTTTTTATGACCTTTTAATTGATCCTCTTGCTGAAGGGTTTGGGTACCAATAGATCTATCTACCAACGTCCGCTGCATTCTCTCCTGTAGTGAAACTCTCGCAGTATCAACGTCGGGTCGATGGCGTAGTTGGTTATCGCATCTGTCTCACACTTCTAGTGTACACAGGAGGTCCTCAGTTCGAGCCTGGGTCGACTCATTTTTCCTTCTAGCTTCCTCTCCGAAATACTTGAGAGGAAGCCACAGTGGATCGTGGCCAAGATCAAGGTTCCGCGC